CAGTGGCGGCACAAATCAGGTGGTTGTCTTTGCGTGGTTCTAGAAGCTTGTACTTGTTAGTAAAACACCAAAAGCAGCCGGACAGGAACATGGTTGGAACAAACAGTCGCAACAACTCTCCTTACCGCTCTCTCTTTACTGGTCTGTTTACTCCCCTTTGGCATTTTGTTCTCAGGATTGTACATCAGTTCAGCAAAGAGTTATTGAAGCAGCAAAAAGCTTGTAAGTACGCTTGATCGCTAAAGGGATCAACTCCTGCTTTAAACCTTTCATCTGCCGCGGAGCAGGTTATACGCCGACAGAAAAGTGAACGGTGTATCACAGATAATAAGCTACAGTGGTTTCCTCTATTTTAGACAGCCGGGAATTGCTGTTGGTCAGCAGTGCAAATTCACATGCCAAAGTTTTCTAAAGTTGAGGACAACATGAGAAGTATGCATCACTTTGGCCTCCATTAGTGAATCAACAGATATCTTGGAGTTTTAAGTGCCGTCTTTAGTTGAGCCACTAAGTTCAAACATTTAAGCACTAAATTGTTTGCAGCAAAACAAGATCATCTTTGCAATAAACGATGAACAGAAAGACTCCTGAGTTCCCGCTGGCTTCTGTAACTGAACCGGCTGCTCGGATCCCGCACACTACCGGTGTCCTTTTGTCACCGCTGTGGCTTTTTTTTTTTTTTATCCGACTTACTCGTCTGATGAAAAATGTCAGACACGACTGCCTCCTGAACCCACTCATCTGTGCCCCTGACCCTATCAACCGTGACCCAGCCAGCGCAACCAATTCCCCGCTTTCTATCGGGTTTATTTTGGCTATTATGGTGAGCGATGAGGAGCTTTTTTTTTTTTTTTTTTTGTCTCTATATTTGGTCTTGTTTGCCAAATGTTTCCACCGTCCTGCCTGTTTACCAATTGTTCCAGTGGCTGCTTTTGCAGAGCTGAATGGGCTTTAAGAATGGGACAGGCGAAGGGGTGGCAAGGAGGGTTCATTTCCACATTTCCGCATTGCTGGATTAAATCAATTGGGTCTGATAATGCACATCCAGCAAACATTGACCTGCTTCTCAACTCCGTCACAAACAAAACCACCATCTGTCAGAAAACGGAGAAAATAAATACAACGAGGAAGGAGGGAAAACAAAGACAAAAGCTGCAAAGGATTCTCATCGGACCCAAATAGGTTTATGGGATTGTAAATCCCATTTATATATGATTGACTTTGTTTGGTTTGTTCGCTTGAGTTATGATTTCTTTCAGAGACAATAATCATATGCCAAAGTTGGATTCTCACACACACATACACAACTTTTGGAGACAGTGAAATGTGTTCAGGAGGACACACGAACTTGAATTCCATTTTTTTTGCCTCACAGAATCAATCACCTATGTTTTCTGTTAGAACAATACACATGGGGAAACCAATCATGTCTTTCAAGGTGGAGGTGGATTACTATTATTACTCACTGTCTCATCATAACTGCACGCCGGAGTTACAGAAAAGATTAATCACAGCCCCGTATTTTTTTGTTCCTCTCTGGTATTTCTGCTCTGAACATCTTCCATTCAGACATGGAGGGAGCGAAAGGGAAGAAAAGAAGTGTCGAAGAAGAAAGGATGAAAAGAAATAGATAAAGAGAGAAAGGCTATGTATATTTATATATATAAAAAGCATAATATCAGTTATCGCTACAAAGGGGCCAAGGTCTGGAGTTTCACAGTCTTTCATATACAACAGGCGCAGTAACAGTGCTGACTCTTTGTCTCTCTGCTGCGATGACACCTGCCGCTCGGCACTGTGGGAGCACGAGAAAAAAAAAAGCAGAGTCCACCCTGTAATATATTCTGTGCATGTGTCTGTGTGTGCGCGCGTGTGTTAAGGTGTGGGTGTATAGGTGACACATTTCAACGCTCTGAAGACTTCCTAAATCCTGTTCCAATGCCTTCAATCTGGTCTCAGGTTTCCAGCCAAGCGGCCCCCTGGAGGCAGCAGGGGTTCCACAGCATGAGGTGAGCATATTCCCCTTGTACACCCACTTATCTCACACTCAGCTGGCTTAGTTGTTCCATCTGGCTTTTGATTTAGGAGCTGTAGTATTAGGCGCCCCTCCCTTTTTTTTTTTTTTTGCACCTCGAGTCTACATGCAGGCAGGTAACGACGTGTACCCAAACTGTGTGTAGCTCTGGCAATTAAATGTGTCTCTGGCATACACGCTGCAAGTCAATATCTCTCATCAGATTGTCGTGTGCACCTCTTCCTCTTATATTCTAATGCTTTAAAATGTACTACACTTCTATTTTTTTGCTTGTTATCTATCCACAAATCTGTTTGTGTGGTGCTGTCTGAGCCACTCGTTTGTGCTTCGTTTGGGTTTAAACGCAGATTTTGAGAGAGTTTACATTTATGGCATGTGCTTTTTCATTTCTGATGGTTTTATTTCAGTTAAAGCTGCAGTAGGCACAAATCTTGAAAGGGGAAAATATAAGAACAAACCAACCCTCTCTGTCCTAAGCCCACCAGACAAGCATATGCACATGCTTCGAATACACAAGTTGTTCACTCTTTTTCATATGCAACCTGCTCTCCTCATGCAAAGCCCACTGTTTAACCTGTTACAGCATCACAAGCTGTTCTTACATTGTTGCTCTTTATGCTATCTCACCCACTCTCAGTGAAAACCCCTATGATTGCCCAAGGTCTCAAACCAAAATGAGGTACTAGGGTCAACTTTTCTCTCAAACCACTTGAATTACAATATGCTGAAAGGTTATGATGAGGTTCTTGCCCCCCTCCTCAAAAATACTGCCTACCGCAGCTTTAATTAATGCAAGCGGAAGCAGCACTTCAAATTGCAAATTCAGAATGAGAACAGTGACTGCAGCTGCTAACATCTCGCTTTAAAAAAAGAAACAAGCCAACAGGCTCGGAGAAACCCTTAGAAGATTTGGCCTATTTGTCAGACTTAAGGATTTATTTTTATGTTTGAGTCATGTAACCCAGATAGTTTTTTCCAGCTGGTTGTGATGTTTCCTTTTTCCAGCTCGAGCTTGAGTACAGTGAGTGATCTAATCAAGCCTTGTTTCTCGTGGCAGTGTCTTAAAATGTGTCTTTTTTTTATTTCTGTTACACCCACTTTTCACAGCAGTTTTTTTTTGTCACAAAGCCAATACGTGTAACATCCTATTCAAAAATCTGCGCAGAAACAACATGTTGAGAACTCACATTTCTTAGTAATGTATTTTATAGTTGCACATATTTTCTGCGTGTTAACCCCAAACTGATAAATACATCAAGCATATTTCTGATGAAATAAGTCATTTTGTCCACTTCCAGCATGATCAAGGCCCTTCCTAGCCACAGCTACATTAAAACAGATTTATTTTTTGCACATTTTATTTATTCTTTCAGAGGAATAGTTCAACAGTTTGTTGCCTGGCAACCTAATGTGAAGTTTCTTCACAGTTAGTCTGGCACATAACCCTTCTTAAAACCACAGGATGTCCTTTTTTTTTTACACTTCTGTTTCAGATTAAACAAACTAGATGTAACATATTAATTAGTGATGTTTTGAGGTGTTGTAGGCAGATTTCATTATTGTTGCAAAGAACCAGGCTAACTGTTTCCCTCCTGTTTCCAGTATTTGTTCTGAGCTGTGCTGCCTGTAGCATCATTTAAAAAAAATAAAAAAATTTTAGCGTGCAGACATTAAAGTGGCATCAATCCTCTCATCTAGCACTTGGCAAGAAAGCTTATCTCTTAAAATGTGTGCAATTTTGGAATTTAAAAGCAGTTATGTATCCCAAACTGCCCCCCTGTCAGTGATTTTATAAGATCTGTCATTCTGACTTAGCTGCCATCTCTACAATTCAAATCTTTCAGGGCCTCATAACAGAGTTTTAGAATACTTTGTGATCCAAATTCACTGACAGGATTTAATAATGGGGGAAACGCTGAATAAAATTATTGGAGTGCAAACAAATGCCATAATTACTGGTATCACTCAATAAACAAACCTTTATCATTCAGAACCTAGTGTGTGTGGTGTTTCTACAGTATATATTTGTGTGTGAAAATGCGTTTGTATGTTTCTGAATGTGTGCATTTGTGTGTGTGTGTGTGTGTGTACGCATGACGCTCCGAGGAGCCTCTGCTAGCTGCAGCATCACCCAGATGCTGCCTCCCTGCCTCCTTATCCCTCCTCTGGGCCGACTGTCACCACACAGACGAGATCAGAACAGAACAATGCCAGTGCGACAGCCTCCATTCTCCGTGGTGGAGCCTTGTGGAAAAAGGGGCGACCTTCAGCTGCAGAGCTTATGAAGGCGCTTCTGAATAGCCACAGTACAAAGCCCTGCATGTCTGCAGTCCAAAGCTGAGCGCCCTCATCATGTGTGTCTGCTTCAAAGCCCTCAGGAGATTTGAGTGTGAATCATGAGGGAATGTTATTTCTTCCAAGCCATTCAGTGGTTCGTTGGGTAGATGAGCACACCTCTTGTTGCCGGGTTTGTGGGTAAACTTGCAGTAATTCTCCTTTCCCGCGATGCTTCAGTACTTTACACTTGATCCCTTATATTGCTTCTCAGGTTTGGTCCCTAAAGCCAATCCATTCATATCAGCAGTTTCCCACTGTGTGTAGTCGTACTGTATTACTCAGATATTATCATTTCAAAGTGGTTATTAGCTCTGAGACAACACTCTAATATCACCACAAGTGCACAGACGTCCCTGCTCTGTAGGCTCTTAGTTAGTATGGTTTAAGATGCCACCGACTCGGGCACCGTCTTCTTGACAACAAAGGTCTGTTGAGTGATATGATTGGTGAACTCTGTTTGTGAAGCGAGAAACCCACTCAGACACAGTATACCAACGAGCCTCACGTAAACACACATGTAGATCTGTACCTCTGAACACCCCAGGAGTCGGTGTCTCCACTCAGAGATTACTTGTGCCACCACTCCACATGCATCCTGTCCCCCTCTTTGTCTCCCTTTCTTCCTCTCTCACACAGTCACCTCTGTCTTGCTGTTGGTCACAAAGTAGGGCTGTGTGGGAAGGAAGTGTTGGCTGTGGCTGTGGCCTCTGCTGCCGTGGAGCTGGTTCGGCTCCAGCACGGTACACTGAGGCCTCTTGTGCCCATAGGTCTTTCTCCGGCCCACCGTCTCAGTCCCGTCCCACCCCTTCAGCCCCAGCCCCATTGCATGCCCGGCCGCGATTGTGTTGGAACTGTACGCCAGTGGGCGGCCCATTGTTGCTGAGCCGTGGCCAATGGTGGTCTCGGCGGCCCTGGAGATGCCCAGGGATGTGCCACCTGGCATGGTCCCCGCCATGTGTGCCAGGGTGGTACCCCCATGCCCCAGCGGCTTGCTACTGTGGCTGTGAACATGAGTGTGAGAGCTGTGGGCAGCGTGACCATGGCTGCTTTTGAGTTTCTGGCCATTTGGCTTGAGTCCCCCTCCTCCTATGCCGGCTAAATGCCGTTCTGTTGGGAGGGTCGAGACAGAGGAGATGCTGGGCATCTCAGTGACGTAGGTGGCCACCGGCTCTGGAGTCAGTGGACCCAAGGAGGTCATAGGAGTCATGGAGGTCATCGGGGTGAGCGAGGTCATAGGTGTCAAAGAGGTCATGGGTGTCATAGACGTCATTGGAGTCATTTGCGTCATTTGCGTCATTGAAGTCATCTGGGTGATGGTTGGGTTCATGGGATTGGAAGTCATAGGGTTTGAAGCCATTGGGTTGGTGGTCATCGGAGGAGTCATTGACGACATGTTGCCCATGGAGGGTCTGGAGTTGCCCATGGGCTGGAGAGGAAGGCCACCTTTCGCTGGCAGCTCGACCATCAGTCGACGCTTGTTGTAGAGTTCACCATTGTACTTGGCAGCTAACAGAAGAGAGAGAGAAAAACAGAGACAATAAAAATGTTAAGCGGTAAAGAGCACAGCTGATATTTTGGTTTAAATGTTGAAATCTTTAAACATTTAATTCCTCAACACTCGGCCATTTGAAGAAAATAAAAAACATAAAACTCCCATAGAGACTTACTCAAAAAATAAGACATTCAGCAGCTTGAAGATCAGCTGCAAACTGAGACATGCACACATTAGAGCACACACACACACACACAAGCGGAAATTTAGATAGAAAACATCCCATCCCTTTCTACTCCCACAACTCTTTAAAGGTCGTATAACAAACCCAGTATACTTTAACTTTGTTAGTCAGCCTCCCCTCATGTAACTGACCAGGCAGGGTGTCAGGGCCGCTGCTAACGCCTGCATGCAAAGGCCTGTCGTGCCACCGGAGGAGTGAAATCAAAAGGAAAGCCCAGAATGTCTCCTCCACCTCGCCTCTTCCTCCCTTATAAAGCCAAGAAAACATCTCATTTTGTGTGGTGTGAAGGTGTTCAGTGTAAGAAAAAAGGACGAATATCTGGGAGGAAGATGTGAGACCATTAAAACATGTACCATGATGGTCATTTTTCTGACACGGTGCAGCTTTTTGCAGTTATAACAGGATAAAGAGAAGGTTTCAAGGACCGTATTAAATGCTGTAAAGTGAGTAAATAAATGTAGAGTTTATGTTTCTTCCGACTGTTAATATTTAGCTAATTCGCATGTTGCAGATGTACCATGCCTCTTCCTCCCATTGCCCTCCTGGTTCTGTCCACAAGCACGAATGTGTACAGGAAATGTTGGAATACAGTTGTGTGGTTTGGTCCAAGCCACTTTGTTTGCTTCCCATTTACACAGCCAGGGCTTTGGACAAACACCAGATGTTTTTTTAGCGGACACACAGAACAGACAGCTAGTCGACCGTGAGGACATTTATTGGATTGAAGTTGCATACTCCACCTCTATGGGTAGGGCACTCCTAAAGCAAGAATACCTTTTCATACAATGTTATTGATCTGGTTTTCTACATTAGATATTTTCAGATCAGACAGAAAAAGTGCAAAAAGTAAAGGAAAAAAAAACACTATAGTATGCACGGAGGCGGATATTCTGCCATCATGGCATGATGCCCTTGTTTATGCAGCTGCCTACAGGTCCAAACACTGAGATACCAGACATGAGGGCTGTCATGATGTCAGATTTTTACTACGAGTTTATTGTGGCCAACAGAATTCATGATGCAGAATTAATGCAATATATATAGAGCATTTTTTAAAAACAAATAATTTGGTTGCTGGCAGTGTCTTGTTTCTTCTGTCATCTCCTCCAACATGATTTTTCATGGCAGTAGTAGCCACACACTGTAGTAGTAGCTATTTAGCAAGTTACTGAGTCTTTTTATTTATTTTTTTTCCATTTTGAGGTGGGTGGTGAGCAGTGTTAAGGTGCAATACCACCACCTACTATGTGTCAGATAGTTACTGGCACTGGATTAGTAACAATAGCATCATGTATATACTACTGACATGATATCAATGTCTTCTTTTTTAAATATCATGGTTATTGTCAGCACCAGTAGATCATGACCCCCCCACTAGAACATACAAAGATTTTGTCTTTCCATACAGCAAAGCAAAGATCAGAAGAAAACCATTGGGACATCTTCCATTAAGGGCAGCAGTATTCCAGAGCAAGCGCACTCTTTTGATGCAACGATATGGATTTGAAGTGGTGGTTGTATATATGCAACAATCCTTCTAAGATGTATGAGTCCAGCTATAGTGGTGTAGGTTTCTTGACGGATGGACCTCTTTCAGTGGGAAAGGGAGCTGTGCAATTGCTGTGCAATTGTGCTGGTCCATGAGTGATATGCTCAAAGTAAGTTGCTCTGCACAAATGTATCCTATCAAAATGTGTCCTATATTGTTACCACAGACTGTATAAAAGATGAATGTAGCCTCTGGGTTTGAAAAGTGAAGCCAATGTGCATTTTGTGTAATGGACAGCAGGGGGCGACACCTGATCCCAAAAAGAAGTTTATGTTTAATTGTAAGTTTATGAGAAAACTATTTACTTCTTACTTGTTTGGTCGCCTCAGTGAAAATTTTCCTCATGACTTTATGGATTCAACTGTTAGTTTCAAGTCTCTTTCAATACAGCATGATGCTAATTTTGTAAATTATGGTACCATTTAGTGTGTAACAGATGAGGAGGCAGGTTATGCTTTTTGGTGTGGCCAAATCTCTACAACATGGATGTGGGCAGACTCATCACGAGCTTGCTGTGCCTGGTTTTAAAGACCAAAATGGCAGCGACCAAAATCCAACCTGAATCTGAAAAACAGTAGAAAATGGCAAACAGTGGCAACACTCATCTTTTACATACAGCCTATGTGACTCATTTACATGCCACCATAACAAGTGTATACAATTTGCAGCGACAGACTGGTCATATAATGTAAAGTAGTGCAGTCAGTAAAACAATGCGCCAAAGTTATTGTGACAAGTTACATAAAAGGGGTAAAGAGCATGAGGGAATACATGCATATGCTTCAACAAACTTAGACGTACACAAAGTCGCACCCAGCAGACACCAGACTGACGATGCTCTATGCGCCGGTTCAAGCGTCTTCCCTGTCTTTGTGTACCTGTGTGTGTTTCTGTGTTCCTTCAGCCTTGGAGCAGTCAGCTTTAATGCCTCACATTTATTCCTCTCTCTCCGTCAGTCAGCGTCACCGAGCTACAGTCTCTCTTATCACTGCGAAATGTGACCTTTTTTTTTTTCTGGCGGATTCGCGTTCTCAGTCGAGTCATTACTCTTTAGCCCCTTGTTGCCTCTACGTCCTTGAAGATAAAGTTAACACACTCAGTGAGTTTGCTTTGCCGCTGTAACTATAAATCTAGTTTATTGCTGTGTGAACGGTGAGAGAGTGAAATGAGTAAGCGGGAGGAGGGGGGGGTTGGAGGTGAGGATGGAAGGGGGGGGGTGCCGGGTGTGGGGAAGCCATGTCTCACCCGCCGAGTCACCGCTAGACCGCCCCTGGGGGTCAAACCTGCTGAGGCGACAGGTGAATCAATCCGGTGGTAGTCAGCTTGACGGCGCACACATCCAGCGGCGTACGTGAGTGGAAACGGAAAACACCGCTGTTACGCAGTGTGAGCTCGGCGTGCCTCTGCCTGAGAAAGCCTGCACCCCACAGAGACTAACACATTATGCATCAGGAAAAAACTGAGCACTGCTCCTCTGAAGTCCCTCAGTGCCAGTAACATAAAAACCTTATTAGGATTAGACCAGAATGTCAATCTGCTCTTTATTAGGCAATTGGGTCGTCTACTGCCAAGGTGGTGGAGGGTTTATTAATTGTAGAAGTCTTTAAAACGTTTCACATTTTAAAGTGCTTTTTTTTTTTTTTTTTTTTATTCAAACACCTAATGTATTCCTGATTGTTTTTTAGTATTTACTCTAAGTGGGTGGATTTCTTTGTCATAGTTCTGCCGCCTTAACCAAAAACATCCATTACTCTGGGTTTCAGTGGAGAGTTTTACTGTCATATTGCAAAGTAAATGCTGTCTGAAAGGTTTTTTTTTCCCCCTTGCGAAGTCTTTACAACTGCATGGTTGCTTTCTTTGGCAGGATGCTGGTCAAATAGAACGATATTCAGTGTTGTCACAGGATGGGAGAAGTAATTCAATCCTCCTCTTACGTAGATTGGCTACCATCTCTGCTGTAACTGTAGCACATAAACAAGACTATTAAGGCCAATGTATGCGCTCCATGTCCATGTATCTGCTAGGATGACGTAAAATATGTCATCCATATGAATCTCAAGGGTTTGCTCCTCGTCCATGAGCAACCCAAAATTTGTACCACGTGGACTTTCTGTAATGTGAGACTGTACATGCGCAAGAAAAACAAACAGTGCTCAAAGCAAATGATTTTTATGAAGAGAGACTGTACGAGGTGATTCTGGGTCATCCACACATGTATAGTTTTTTTTAATTGAAAGAATTATAATTGAAGAAGCTGCTGCAGGACTTTGGAGGTGCTTTGGTTTCCTTTCCACTGAAGGAGTCCAAAGCAGTGGGAAGTTCTAAATTCTCCAGAAATCCTGTGCTGTGTGTGCCTACTTTGCTTGACATACCTCAAATATATTAACACAATGCTACAACCCAATCTGTAAGTAGCTGCTGTATGCTGTCAAAACTGGCCCATATGTTTTTCTGTGCTCAATATGAGAAGCAATGTGACCGTCTGTGTGGACCTGTGCAGATGTATTGTAGTATGCATAGAACCACATCTGCATTGGTGCATATGTGCATGAATTGGCCCTTAGAGACACAATCTGTTTAGAAGAAGCCTTAATCGTCATTTATACATCACAGCACAGTGAAATTCTTTTCTCATAACCCAGTTTTTGTTAGAAGTTTGACTGTATGTAAGGATGGACGAAGCATCCATGCTATCACCCATAGGTTTCAGCATAGGAGACAACAATCCTGACTCATTCAAATATGAGTAAAGAGGTGGAGTGTGAGTGGAGCTGAGACAGACCATGTAAACATCTGTAGGCCGTGGACTTTCCACCTGTCACTCAAAGTGGACACACCCTTAATTATACATAGTTTTATGTCTTCACAAGTAAGTTATATAAAAATGAATCCCTTTTGCAGTTGTCCTACATAAAGAAATCATCATGATAGTCTATGGGGATTGATTTGGTTTTGAAGACTGTCTCAAGTGGCCATTTGAGGAACAGCAGTTATCAGCTTCACTTTGCAGCCCAGGAAGTTGCTGCATAGTCAGAGTGCAGGTTTACCCACAATATGGTGCCTCTGATAATATGAAGGTTAATAAGGACCTTCTGATTAGGAATCTGAATACTGCCTGTGCAAAATGAGTTTGGCATCCTATGGTCATATATGTTCCAAAATATGAATCTAGCTGACTTTGGTAAGGGCCTGACTTTTTCCTTTGTGCTGCCATGAATTTG